TACATTTAGGATCAAATCCATACTACCTACCCTGCCTTCCCCGGCCTGGCTTCCACCAAGCTCTCTGGCCATTCTTGACCTTCACTGACTATACCACAGCCACAGCTGCTTTCAGTCCCACTGATGGGCCAAACTCTTGCTTGACTCTGCAAATGCCGTCGGTATGCGCTTTTCTCTAGTCTTCCTGAAGCTAGTTCCTTCTCCTCAGCTCAAATAAAAGTCATCTCACAGAAGCTTTCCAGATCACTCTTATTAAAGTAGATCTTGGCTTAGTCGGTAGAGCATGTGACTCGATCTCAGGGTTGTGAGATCAAGCCCCAAATTTTTATTAAAAAAAAAAAATTGGGGGGGGCGCCTGGGTGGCTCACATGGTTAAGCGTCTGCCTTCAGCTCAGGTCATGGTCCCAGGGTCCTGGGATCGAGCCCACATTAGGCTCCCTGCTCAGAGGGGGGGCCTGCTTCTCCCCCTGCTCATGTTCTCTCTCTCTGTCTCGAATGAATAAATATAAAAAATCTTTAAAAAAAAAATTGGGGCGCCTGGGTGGCTCAGTTGTTAAGCATCTGCCTTCGGCTCAGGTCATGATCCCAGGGTCCTGGGATCGAGCCCCACGTTGGGCTCCCTGCTCCGCGGGAAGCCTGCTTCTCCCTCTCCCACTCCCCCTGCTTGTGTTCCCTCTCTCGCTGTCTCTCTCTGTGAAATAAATAAATAAAATCTTAAAAAGATAAATAAAAAAAATCAAAACCCTCACTTTTCTTTCTCTACTCTTGTTTCCTTCGCAGAAAGCACCATCATTGAACATTTTTCTGCTTTTGTTTTCTATTGTCTTCCCTCAAAGAGTAGGTTCAAAAAGACAGGACTACGTTTTTATATGCCACCAGGGTCTAGTACCACAGCACTAGATAGCACCTAACAAATACCTGTTGAATGCTATCCCATTTGTGAGGCAAGCCCTATAGTAATAGTCCCACTTATGCCCACAGTCACTAAAAAGTACCTAGAAAACTTTAAAATATCACAATGTGTTATTTTAAGTTATTCTTTTCAGAAATGGTTATTTAAACATAAGATAAAGGCTTCCAAATTTCTCTCAACAGTAAGAAAATTACAATAGTAACTGAAACAAAGGTTCACAAAATCATACTTACCCTTGCTAAGGGAGCTGTACTTTGATATTTTCTAGTTCATGTCATAAGACAGTATAACCATTTTTATGTGCTTTTTCTAAACTATTAAAGTGGAAAGACAATGATGAATGATGTGTACTGCTGCAAGGTTTTGGTTTTTCATTCATGATTTCAATAAATTAAACCAATACCACTAATTCAAAAATGCAAAATTAATGTTAGGGGAAAGGTAATTCAATTACCTTACCAATTCAAAATTATCACATTCAAACTCTAGAATAACATTATAACCATATTCATTAAAAAAAAAAAGCAACCTACAGACACAGGATTTTCAGATTAGGAACCCCTTTCTAAGGAGGAATCCCAAAGTGATCTCAAATTGTAAAGAGAAGAATGAGAACCGGTGTAGGTCTTCCCATCTCATCTAATAGCAATTCTATTCCTCCTGACCTATAGGACAAAAACCTTGGTGCCATTTTTGATTTCTCTCACTCCTCAAATCCAATGCATCATTAAATCCTATTGGCTCTACCATCAAAACACACCCAGGGGCGCCTCCTGGTTGGGTGGTTAAGGGATGAACTCTTGGTTTCAGCTCAGGTCATGATTTCAGGGTTGCAAGTTCAAATCCCACATCGTGCTCTGCTTAAGACTCTTTTGCCCTCTCCCCCTGCCATCCCCTCTACCCCCCACCGCCAAAATAAATAAATCTTGGGGAAAAAAAACAAAACACATATCCAAAATCTGATACTTCTCACCACCTCTCACTGCTACCAGCCTGGTCCAAGCCACCACCACCTGTTGCCCAAATTGTAACAGCCTCCTGTAACTGGGCTCAATTCTCCCTTTGCCCTCCTCCAGTCTCTTTTAAACCATGCAGTCAGAGTGATACTATTAAATCATTAGGTCACATCATGACACTCCCCTGCTCCAGTGTGGGTTCCTAGCCTACACAAAGTCAAAACCCTTCCCAAAGCCTGCAGAATTGTATTTGATCTGCCCTCACCTAATCATGCTCACCTCATCTACTACTATCCGGCCGCTATGGCCTCCCTCACTTGGCCTCAAACAACACCAGACAAACTTCCACCTCAAGGCCTTCGAACTTGCTCCCTCTGACAGGAATGCTCTTCCTGCAGATATCCACATGCCTAGCCCCTTTAACTTCCTTCTGGCCTTTACTCTAGTCATGTTCTTAATAAAACCAACTCTGGCCATCATACCTAAAATTTCAACCCCTTACCCTTACACCCTCATCCCATATATGTCTACAGTCCCCTTCTCTGCTTTATTTTTCTTCTTAGAACCTACCACTACCTAACATAGCATATATTACAGCATTCACTCTTATTGTCCACTCCCCATAGATTAATCTCCATGAAGGCATAAATACAGCATATCCACTGCTGGATCCTAAGCACCTAGAACAGTATGTGACACATAATAGACACTTGATAAATATTTGAATGAGCAAGTGAATGAATGAACAGGCTTGGAATGAACAAGAAAATAGGAACTGAGATGACAGAACAGGTTAAGTAAGAAGAGCTTAGGTAAAGAGCTGTGGCTCAAGCTTCATGGGCAGCTCTGGCATACCTGTGATGTCTCTGGCTCTACCAACATGTGTGAACCAGGTTAGCAACCACTACTCAAGATTGAACGAAAAAAAAAAGATTGAACGAAGGTCCACTACAAGCACTGAGTGTTCCTTCCAAGTTCATTATGTATTCTAAATCAATCAAGTAGAAATTCGGGGGAAATGAAACCACAAACGAAAAACATTATTACCTACCGTTATGAACTATGCTTTAACAGGCTACAACACACAACTTTAACTTACAATGACGCACATATGCACCAAAGGACTAAGCTAAGGCTAGAATTCTGAAGTAATGCTATGTACACAAGAGAAATCAAGGGATCTATCTAAACCAGATTCTGCCACTCATCAACTGTACAACCAAAATCTGTGAACCTGTTTCTCATCCTGTTAACATAGGGATCACTACATCCAAATCAGATGTACCCCCAACTAGTAATTCAAGGATGAAATAATGGGAAAGTACTTTTAAAGTACCTTTTTTTTTTTTTTTAAAGATTTTATTTATTTATTTGAGAGAGAGAGAGTGAGAGAGAGAGAGAGCCCAAGAGGGGGTAGGGTCAGAGGGAGAAGCAGACTCCCTGCTCAGCAGGGAGCCCGGATGTGGGACTCGATCCTGGAGCGGGATCATGACCTGAGCCGAAGGCAGTTGCTTAACCAACTGAGCCACCCAGGCACCCTAAAGTACCTTTTAAAAGCATAAAAGGCCATACCCCATCCAAATACAAGTTACTAAATTCTAAGATGTTAACTTACTGGCCATTAGGAAGATTTAATAAAAACAATGTCCTTGGGGTGCCTGGGTGGCTCAGTAGTTAAGCGTCTGCCTTCAGCTCAGGTCATGATCCCAGGGTCTTGGGATCGAGCCCCGCATCAGGCTCCCTGCTCCACAGGAAGCCTGCTTCTCCCTCTCCCACTCCCCCTGCTTGTGTTCCCTCTCTCACTGTCTGTCTCGCTGTCAGATAAATAAAATCTTAAAAAAAAAAAAAGTCCTTTTGGGAACCTTTACATTTCAAAGCTTTTTATAGATTTATGAATCAGAATGTAGAAAAAGTATTTTACTAGTATATTTGATTCACAGAAAGAACAGAAATTAAGTTTTTTTTTCAGTTACAACAAGGTTATATTGTGCAGGAATTTTCAAGGAATTCACCACAATATTTCATTACTCAAAATGACACACACCTAAAAAATATATATGTTAATATGTGTATATATATAAATACCTCAAAGCCTCAGGGACTGGGGTGGGTGGACTGTCAAGGAGCAAAAGGGAACTTTTTAGGGTGATGGAAATGCTCTGTCTTAATTGGGAGTGTGATTACATGGATGAACATATTTGTCAAAACTCATTAACTGTGGGCACCTGGGTGGCTCAGATGGTTAAGCGTCTGCCTTCGGCTCAGGTCATGATCCCAGGGTCCTGGCATCGAGTCCCGCATCGGGCTCCCTGCTCCTTGGGAGCCTGCTTCTCCCTCTGCTTCTCTGTCTCTCCCTCTGTCTCTCATGAATAAATAAATAAAATATTAAAAAAAAAAACCTCACTAACTGTACATTTTAAATGGGCACAATTTTTGTATGTAAAGTACACCTCAATACGTTTGTTTAGACAAAAGTCTGTCCTGTTTCCTTAAATTAAAAAAAAAAAAATCACTCGGTTGCACCACGGCCTCAAGAACTTGCATAATGAGATCTAATGCAACAGGTCTGAAGATTTAACAAAGATGAGTCAATGACCAGAAAAGTTAACTCATGACCTTCCGGCCTCAAAGTTAACTCAAATTAATAGAAAACAAAGGCAGCATAATCAGGGGGTAAAAAAAATCGCAGTTTCTTCTCAAGAAAACCGGAAATGAATTACTTCAGAGAGCGCCGTGGAAAGAGCACAGGTTCAGAGCCCTTCAAACCTAGATTGGAAGGGTTAGAGGCTGTTCAGCGTGTGACCTTGAGAATCCTCAGTCCCTGAGGCTCAGTTTCCCTTTCTGTAAAATGGGGATAATGATGGCTTAAAAGTTTGGCCTAGCGTACAGTTAAGTACCCAATGTATGATATGCAATTCACATTATTGAAGACTCCGGAATTTAGCGCTGGTTAGAAATGCATGCAGAACAGGCCCTTCAGTTTCCGTCTAGGGGAGTTGTGGTCCCTTTCGTACGCCTTATCGCCCTCAGCCAGGCTTCATTTCCCTCCGACACACACCCTGCAACTTTTCCGGTCCGGACCACCCCTCACCCGTGCAGCTTGCAGGGGCCGCCCACCTCCCGAGCCCCACCTCGTTAAGGAAACGGGTAATATCGTAGACTCGCCCGTGGATCACCAGCCATATCTCCTTCATGGAGTTGCGCTTCGCCACCTCCTCCACTCGATAATATGTGACGGAGGTCTCGACCCCTTGCCCTTTCCCATCGCTGTCGCTTGCTTCCACAGTCGCCATTGGGCCTGAAATAGCTCTTCTCTACCACTACCCCGGCTTCCGAGGTTAACTTCCTCGAAGTAGACCTTGTGCTCAGCCCTCCCCGGCTTCCGTAACTAAGGCCCCTACGGCCGTCGGAGGGATCCTGGCAACAGCCAATCACGCTCCCGAATAGTTCCTGGTTCGTTTTTCTTCTCACCAATGAAACAACGGATTCAGTTTCAAGTCCCGCCCACCTCTCGCCCGATCCTTGGAACGTAGGCCTGGTTCGAGGTCCAACTAACCAATCAGGATCGTCTACCCCTCCAATCTCGCCAACCAGGTACCGTGATTTTGGAAAGACGCCTAATGGAGACGGTTTGACAGGTGTTACGCAAAAGAGGTTTCCCCTTCACTTAGTGTAGCGACCTGCGGAGTCCTGGAAGAGGGGGCCGAGTCTCTTTTTTCCCGTTTCCCTTCCCTTCGCCATGACCTCTCCACGCGAAGCTTCTTTTCCCCCACCTCCTGTGCGGCCTGTATTCCAGCCCAGGTTTACATCTTTTTTTGCAACCATCGGGCTGTGACGGGACGAATCACGACTGTCTCATTTTCCTCACCAGTAAAATGGGCGAGATAACTTTGGTCTATTAAATGAGAGAGTGTATCTGCACAGCGCTTGGCACATAGTAATCAAGGCATGAACGACAGCGGTGCTAAAAAAAGGGGGGCGGGGCGGGGCCGTAATTCGCCTAAGGCCATGGACAGGTACTACCGCAAGTTTCTGCCACTACTGAGAATCTGATTTTGTTATACGTCAATTATATGTTGAAGTTGGGAAAGGGGAATCTGATTTTTAAACGAATTATTTGGTGATCAGAACATACTATGCTATTTTCGTTTCTATGTGTTCTAAGATAAAATTCACCTCAACTATTCCCAGCTAGAGATCCCAGCATTTTGGAATTCCAAGCTTGGTTGATGTGCAGTGTTGTAAGCTCCTCAGTTTTAACTGCCATTACAACTGACAGATTGACATGTAATGTCCTTTTCATCCTGTCACACTCCCAGACTCTACACAATCCATCCCCAACCCCTTTCACTAATATGTTCCACCATTCGTTTTATAAGACTTGTGTACCAGCCACTGACTCCTAAACCTGCTAGTAATAAAACCACTTCTGTGATCATACGAGGTGCACCGACCCTCTTCCTTCCAATACGTACTCATTTTCAAGCTCCTCCTGAAATTCTTTTTCACAAACTCCCCTGACATTCCAGCCTCCAGTGGTCCCATCTCCTACAGCACCAAAGCATATCAGTATTTCAGGAAACCCCCTGTGTCTGTAAATCTTAACTTCCCGTATCTTACCTCCCAAATGAGACTGAAATTATGGGCGAAATTCCATATGATTCTTAGGATATTCCACAAACTGGATTCAAATACTTATGTTCATTTACTGAACGTTAACTGTGTCACAAGTACTGTGATAGGCTCTGTGATCGAAAAGTAACATAAGAAATAAGTGTTCTGAGGGCACCTCAGTTGGTTAGGCATCTGCCTTCAGCTCAGGTCATGATCCCAGGGTCCCTGCTCAATGGGGACCCTGCTTCTCCCTCTCCTGCCCCTCCCCCTGCTTGTGCTCTGTCTCTCTCTCAAATAAATAAAATTTTTTTTAAAAAAAGAAAGAAGCCTTCTAAAAAACATTTACATATATATATAAATTTAAATTCTAGAAATACAGATTTGTTCCAAATGTAATGGGACACAGCTCTGAACACATATTTGTTAAATGAATACTTCACACTTAACCCCAGTGTGCATGTGTCATCTGAGGAGGCTGTTCTAAAAATACAGATTCTGGGGTGTTTGGGGGGCTCAGTCAGTTAAGCGGCTGCCTTTGGCTCAGGTCATGATCCCAGGGTCCTCGCTGGGGGTGGCGGCGGGGGAATGCTTCTCTCTCTCCCTCTGCCCCTCCCCACTGCTTGTGCTCTCTCTCTCTCTCAAATAAATAAATAAAAATCTTTAAACATACAGATTCCTTCCTGTCCAAACAGGGGAGTCTCCTCCTCACCTTGAATCCTGGCTTGCCTTATTACTTACCCTGACCAATAGATTGTGGCAGAAGTGATGTTGTGCAAGTTACGAAGTTCAGACTTCAAGAGGCCTTTAAGTTTCCATCTTCACCACGTAGGAACACTACCCCGACAGAGATCAAGATGCTGTGAAGAAGCCTGGGATTAAAGACCAGCCATTTAAACTCTCAGCTGAGCCCACCCCTTCATCGACTTGTCAGCTGAGCGTGAAGACTGAGTGAGCCCACGCTTACTCAGCAGAACTGCCAAGTCAACCCACAGAATTGTGCGAAATGATAAAACATTGTTTTAACACAGTAAAAAAAAAAAAAAAATGCAGATTCCCAGCCCCACCTCCAGAGATTTAGGCCCAGTGGGTCTGGATATAAAAGCAGAAACGAACATTTTTAGCAAGTATTTCTGATGACTGATGCAAGTGATTTGTGGATAACTCTGGGAAACCCTGAACTTTTTCTGAAGCATATATGTCTTTATCTCTCATACAATAAATTAGTGAAATTACACAGCATTTCCTTTACTATTTCCACCTTTAGGAAACTGAGTCCAACAGTGTTTTTAAAGACCCTAAAATGGTAGTATAGAAGAACTCAACAAAGGGAAGGGTTAGAGAAATATATTTGGAGTACCATAATACCCAAAGCAGGTTTTCTGAGACTGGGAAGAGAAAAGTGGTTTGGGATTCCTCCAGTAAGAGTAACAGGAAACCCACAAGTTTCCTGAAAGGGACGGAGGGAGGGGAGCGGTAGAGGCAAGGGGACATCGGAGGGAAAGGGCTACATACTGTAGGCAGGGAGATCAGAACTTCTGTGCCAGGGCTCCCAGCTAGCAGACTACTTGAGACCCAGGGCAGAGGCTGTCAGCTCTACAAAAGATCTTTTGGGAAGTGAGCAATGTGGCCTGAAGGCCAGAGGGCTCTTCCTGAATGTTTTGAACTATGTAAAACCCCTGGGAAGGAGGGGAACTGCTCCCATAAATGACTAAGACTGAATTTGTCATCATCCTGGCAAGTGGAATTAGGATCACATTAAAGTGTTTTTTCAATTAATATTTAAATTCCTTTTTTTAGAATTTCAAACAGGTACATTGAAAGAATAATACAATGAACTCCCATATACTTTTAACTTAGATTTACTAACTGTGAATGTCTTTTCATATTTGATTTCTTCCATACATATTTATTATTGCTGTTGTTGTGAATAATGTTAGACCATTTCAGAACAAGTTGGAGACATCATGACCCTTTACCTCCAAATAATTATGTATCTCCTAAGAATGAGGACATACTCTTACATAACCCCAGTATGATTTTCAAATTCAAGGAATTTAACATTCATACATACCTCCCCACTCCTGCTCTCTTGCTATCTTTGTCTCTCTCCCAAATAAATAAATAAAATCTTAAAAAAAAAAGAAGACATTTATATTGTTTAAAAGCATGACCTCAGATTGAATTTTTTTTTAAAGATTTTATTTATTTATTTGACAGAGGGAGAGAAAGAGAGCGAGGGAGAAAGAGAGAGAGAGAGAGCACAAGCAGGGGGAGCGGCAGGCAGAGGGAGAGGGAGAAGCAGGCTCCCTGCTCAGCGGGGAGATCAATGCGGGGCTCGATTCCAGGACCCTGGGATCATGACCTGAGCCAAAGGCAGATGCTTAACCGTCTGAGCCACCCAGGCACCCCTTTAGTTATTTATTATTTTTTTATTTTATTTTATTTTTTTAAGATTTTATTTATTTATTTGACAGGGAGAGACACAGCGAGAGAGGGAACACGAACAGGGGGAGCGGGAGAGGGAGAAGCAGGCTTCCCGCGGATCGGGGAGCCCGATGTGGGGCTCGGTCCCAGGACCCTGGGATCATGACCTGAGCGGAAGGCAGACGCCTAACCATCTGAGCCACCCAGGCGCCCCAATAAATAAAATATTTTTAAAAAATAAATAACTCAGGCACCCCAATAAATAAAATATTTTTAAAAAATAAATAACTCAGGCACCCCAATAAATAAAATATTTTAAAAAAATAAATAACTAGGGCGCCTGGGTGGCTCAGGCGTTAAGCATCTGCCTTCGGCTCAGGTCATGATCCCAGGGTCCTGGGACCGAGCCCCGCGTCAGGCTCCCGGCTCCGCGGGGAAGCCTGTTTCTCCCTCTCCCGCTCCCCCTGCTCGTGTTCCCTCTCTCGCTGTGTCTCTCTCTGTCAAATAAATAAATAAAATCTTTAAAAAAATATATTTTATTTATTTTCGAGAGAGAGAGAGCACGTGCGAGCAGGGGGAGGGGCAGAGGGAAAGTGAGAGAGGGAATCTCAAACAGACTCGCTGCTGAGCACAGAGCCCAACACAGCGCTCTATCCCGCGACCCTGAAATCATGACCTGAACCAAAATTAAGAGTCGCCGCTCAACTGACTGAGCCACCCAGGTGCCCCATATTTGCTGAGCCCAACATAGGGCTCAAACTTAAAACCCCAAGGTCAAGAGTCACATGTTCTACCAACTAAGCCAGCCAGGCACCCCGTTTTCTTCTTTTTAAATTTCATTTACTCCTAAAGCAGCAATCATGCAGGACAAAGATATATGAATAAGGTAGGGATTCAGGTGAGTGAATATAGTCTCCCACTGCCTCTCTTCAGTCTCAGGGAGTGTGCTGAAATTGAGCATGTATAGACCAGACTTGAAGCAGCTTGCAGCTAAGGCTAAAAAAACTAAAGAGAGATCTGAACTGCTGCACATCATAGGCAAGACAAAGTCTGCAGTCTGAGTTTAAGTTAACTGCCTAGTAAAACAAAAAAAAAATTTTTTTTTTATTTGACAGAGAGACGGCGAGAGAGGGAACACAAGCAGGGGGAGAGGGAGAGGGAGAAGCAGGCTTCCCGCTAAGCAGGGAGCCTGATGTGGGGCTCGATCCCAGGACCCTGGGATCATGACCTGAACCAAAGGCAGATGCTTAACTGACTGAGCCACCCAGGTGCCCCTTTAGATTGAATTTGATTCAGAAAAAGATTGTAGCCTAAATGTACTGATTATTAAATTCATATTCACCATTACCAC